GTGGCTCACAACCATCTGTAATGAGATCTGGCATCCTCTCCTGGCCTGCAGGAATACAGGAAATTGTATACATAATAAATCAATCAATCAATCAACCTTTAGAGAGAGAGAGAGAGAGAGAGAGAAACCACATCCAGTGTTCACTGTTTGGACAGTCCTGTGTCCAGTGCTTCACCTGAAAAGGAAGTGAGCAGAACAGAGGAAAGGGAAGAGAAGTTACATGTGGACAACCGACTACCAAGATGAATGTAGGCCGTAAGCACATCTAAAGTCAGAACAAAGATGACACTTCAGTGAAGCACATCTAACTTTGTGGACCTTTCTGTGGAGAGAGGCTTACATGGAATTCGGAGAAAGATGGGAATACAAAAACAAAAAGGAATGATGAGTTCAAAGGTCCAGGCTAATACAGTTGAAGTTTTATATCTTTTTCAGACCATTAAGCACCTAATGGATGCAGAAAAGGTAAAAGGATTCTGCCAGCTGGTGGTGGCTGCCAAGCTGAAAGAGGGTATTTCCCACCTCATCCAGTCCTGTGGCCTCGGGGGCATGAAGCACAACACCGTGGTGATGGGCTGGCCCAATGGTTGGCGTCAGAGTGAAGATGCTCGAGCTTGGAAGACTTTCATTGGTACAAAATGTTTCCTTTCCTGACCTGAGGGCCCACCCAGAGGGGAGCAAATTAAATCTGTCATCCTGACTCCTAAAGTAGAGACTGCTGTGTTGAAGCACGCAGTTAGAAGGCCACCTAAAAACTCATAATTGCCTGTGTTACCTGCCCTCTCCAGCTTTACATTTATGTTCACAAATTATTTGTCTAGGTCAGGTCTCATCTATTGTCATTTTCATTTGTCATTTTGATGTCCTCACAGGAACTAGGATTGTCTTTCACGAGACTCTCCCAAATTCATACTCTAAATATGTAGTATCCCTAGTTTCCTACCATGTTTCTCCGTTCAGTTACTGGCTCTCTAGACTTCCCCCGGGGACCTCTGTCCCTTTGTAAAGTGTGATGTATGATGTCAATAGCACAGACTAGTCAAAGAAATGTCAGTGAGCATTACCTTCCTCTCCTGAAATGGTGGGAAGCAAGGAAAGTCCAGCAGTTCTTGTTCGTGGATCCCAGTTCTCTGTTCTCTCCACAGGCACAGTTCGAGTGACAACTGCCGCCCATCTCGCCCTGCTGGTGGCTAAAAACGTCTCCTTCTTTCCCAGCAATGTGGAACAATTTTCTGAGGGCAACATTGATGTGTGGTGGATTGTGCATGACGGGGGCATGCTCATGCTATTACCCTTCCTCCTGAAACAGCACAAGGTATTCTGGACCACTCTCTTTAAAAGCATTCCCTCGTGCTGTCCTGGCTCGCTAGATGTACTATTATTTAACTGTGTAGTGGTGGGACTTAAAATCTGAAGAGATGGGGCTTATCCTTGGCTGTCCCATAATCCCAGCTTCCCAGATTCAGCCTTATGAGAAGTAGAATGGGTTTAGGTTGTTTTTTGTTTGTTTGTTTGTTTTGTTTTGTTTTTTGTATGTTATACCAATTCACCTTAAGTGAAATACAACAAGTTTACAAAAATTCCATATGAGTGTTCAGAGCAAAAAAAAAAAGGGAATGCATCAGTCTCAGGGGTAAGAATGTGTCAATATATGCTCATTGTCTGATAAGTTTGTATGGTATCATTGTTATGCTGTCTGAATAAGCACCCAGTGTATGCTGATGAGGTTATGTAGATGTGTTTTACCCTCCTCCATAGGCAGCAACTTGGTGTCCTCTAAATCAATTCTGACTTCATTATCTGGAGGTAGCATTCTATCCCCCAGGTTGCTAGTCATTCCTACACCTGTCTTCCTGCATCCTGAGGATGCTGACTACAAGCACAATTTGTTCTACCCATGCTGACTTAAACCATTCACCATCGGTGGTCAGCTCGATCCTCAGTCCCTCTGTCTTCCCAAGGATTTTACAAGTTATATGCCAGGACTCAGGGACAAAGACCAATTTCACAATACTACATGAGCAAGTTTTTTCTTGTAACAGAATTAAGAACTTAGAGCCAGGAATGGTGAAACATGCTGGTAAGTCCCACCACTCAGGAGGCCAAGGTAGGAAGATCAGAGTTCAAGGCCAGCCTGAGCTAGTGTGTTAACTTAGATTGTATTTAATGTGTTGCTTAGTTAATCTTTTACACTACTGCAAAAATGAATCAAGCAGGAGGCAGGGAACAAAATACTTGACACGACACCAAGGTCATTCTAGGCACAAATGTCTCGTTTTAGGAAATCACTTTTTCCCTTCTTGCACCTAATTTTCCATGTACACATGGTATTCCATCAGGTATGGAGAAAATGCAGCATAAGGATCTTCACAGTGGCCCAGCTCGAAGACAACAGTATCCAGATGAAGAAGGACCTGGCTACCTTCCTGTACCATCTACGCATTGAGGCAGAAGTGGAAGTGGTGGAGATGGTGAGGAAGTGGAGTGGAAATAGAAGAGAACACCACTCCTCAACCCCAGCTCTCTTCCTAGAATCTAGTCTGGGATATTACTCAGTTATAAATGTGTGGTTTAACCCCCTAAGCCCAACAAAACCCTAATTTATTGACCTAAGTAATTAGGATACGTAAATGTTTGAGATTGATACTTTTTTTTGCTTTCTTTATAAAACTATCTAAATTTTTATCACATTGCATGTGCGTGCATGCGTGTGTGTGTGTGTGTGTGTGTGTGTGTGTGTGTGTGTGTGTGTGTGTGTGTAAGTCAGAGGACAACTTACAGGAGTCAGTTCTTCTATCATGTGAGTCTCTGGACCCAAATTTGAGGCATCAGACTTGGCAGCAAATGCCTTTACCCACTGAATCATCTTCCTGCCCCTGGGGTTGCTTTTTATTTGCTTTGTTATTTGTTTATTACACAGCTCATATATATGTATACATATATGTGCATACACACACACACACACACACACACACACACACACACACACACACCAAATCCTTAGATGCTTGATATGTTTATTTAATTCATGTTAAAAAAAAATCACACTAGTGGGCTGGAGAGATGGCTCAGTGGTTAAGAACACCGACTGCTGTTGCAGAAGACTCGGGTTCAATTCCCAGCACCCACATGGCAGCTAACAACTGTCTATAACTCCAAAATCTGACACCGTCATACAGACATACATGCAGGCAAAATGCCAATGCACATAAAATAAAAATAAATAAATTATAAAAAAAAATCACACTAGTTTTATGTGGAAAATACAAACTACAGTGTTTTGTTTCAAGGAAACAAATATGAATAAATTATAGAAAATACTTAGTGACTCTGTATTAAATCTACATCCCCCAAACCATGTGTCCTTATACCTCAAGATTGAACAGGAGTGAAAGGTTGATGTGGTGACAGTTTTTCTGAATTGGTCAGCGTGTGAAAATACAATGTGTGGTTAATGTGTTTTTGTTCTGTGTGCCTACTTTGTGTGTGTCCATGACAGCATGACAGTGACATATCTGCCTATACGTACGAGCGCACCCTGATGATGGAGCAGAGGTCCCAGATGCTGCGGCACATGCGCCTCTCCAAGACAGAGCGCGACAGAGAGGTGAGAGCTTGCTGTCCTTCCCAGTCAGTTAAAGCATGAGGAAAAGAACAGGGAGAGTGACTGTTTGACCTTCCCCAGGCACAGCTGGTGAAAGATCGAAACTCAATGCTACGCTTAACTAGCATCGGTTCTGATGAGGATGAAGAGACAGAAACGTACCAGGAGAAGGTACACATGACTTGGACCAAGGATAAATACTTGGCATCCCGGGGGCAAAAGGTCAAGTCAATGGAAGGATTCCAGGACCTGCTTAATATGCGTCCGTAAGTGTTTCCACTCACAAGCTTATCCTCTAATACAGTATCCTAGACAGTGGTACAGATGTGACTGTACCTGAACACAATCACATAGGATGGGATGTTTTCATCAAGCTGATTTAGGCTAAATAGCTGATTTAAGCTATTTATTGTTTGCCTGTGAAGATTAATTCCCAATTAAACATTGGATACAAGCTAACCATCCTCCACATTGTTTCTGTATTATTTGTCTATTACTATAAAATAAACAAACAGAATGAGAAAACCATGCTAGTGAGAGAATAGCTTGTTGCCAAGCCTTAGGTCCCAAAAGTTGGTGGAAGGAAACCACTCCCAAAAAGCTGCCTTCCTACACACACACATACATACACACAATGAAATCTTAAAAAAAATTTTTTAAGATTTAAGAAAACTAGAGATGAGATGTTAATACAGCAAAGAAATGATCACATTGTCCATAGTCAAGTGAAAAGGCTCTAGGCATCAAAACAAAGAGTGCTTACAACTGGTTTTCTGTTTGCCTTAACTACCTTATTTCTTCCCCACTCAGGGACCACTCCAATGTGAGACGGATGCATACAGCAGTGAAGCTTAATGAAGTCATAGTTAACAAGTCCCACGAAGCAAAACTGGTTTTGTTGAATATGCCAGGACCACCCCGAAACCCTGAAGGTGATGAAAACTGTATCCTTTCCAAGAGTGAAGCTGCCAATAGGAAAAAAAAATCTTCTTATAGCCTGTTAATAGACAGTCAGTGGCTAAAGTCAGTCTGTTTTCCACTTTCCCTGAGCTTAATGCCATAGGAAGGGATGCTTCTAAAGTTGTGAGACTAACTGATTTCCTTTCGGGAAGCTGGGGCAGGGAGTTACTGTGTTCTTTCCGAATCCCGTGTATACCATGATGCCTAATTTTCAGCAATAAACCTAGAACAGAACCCACATCCATTCTCCTTTCAGGACCCTCTGCAAAGCCATCTTTTGGATGGAGTTAGGGGAGAAGCACTTGAGATGGGACTTCATAACAGAAGTGAGAAAAAGGCATAAGGACTCTTCTTCACCCAGGGTTGTTTATGGGAACCCTCCAGCCCTGCAGTGACACAGACTGACCCATTCTTAGAAGCACCATTGAGGAAAAGGGGGATGGCTTAATGAAAAAAAAAAAAAATGGCATGAAAACTGACTCATGCAGCTTCATTTAGAAATTCTGTGGGTTCTCTCTAGAGATCTTTTGAAGTATTTTTTTAGCCCTTTTTTTTTTTTGGCATTTTTTGTCAAAAGAATAACATATTGTCAATTCTAGTTTTCATTTTTAATTGTGTATGCATACACATGTACACAGGCACATGAATATACACATACACCACAGCATGTAAAGGTCAGAGAGCAACCTTTGAGAGTCAAACACAGGTCATCAGGCTTGCACAGCACGTGTCTTTACCTACCGCCCCCCCCCCCACACACACACACAGTTGAAGCCCTTTTTTCATGTGTCTGTTGAGGGAGATCTGCTCCCTTTTTCCCCCAGGGTACTCTTGAGGAAGGAGAAGTGATAAATTTGTAGACAGAAGTAGACAGAGAGACAGAAAAAATAGGATAGGACTGGAGAGATGGCTCAGCCGTTAAAGGCTAGGCTCACAACCAAAACTATTAAGAAAACATAGGATAGTTCGGGAGGGCCTGGATCCTAATCCACCAGCCCCTTCTGTCTCTACTAAAGGGTTTTTTAAAGGAATGCCAAGGGGTAAGGCAAAAGACACCCCCCCCCAAAAAAAACAGCCAAGTGTAGACCGTCCCTAACAACTGGTGCAGGTACGTGGTCCAGGCATCCCCCTAATGCAGCCCTGCTGTGTAAAGCAAGCTCCAATCTCACTAGAAAACCTCTGTGGACTCCCACACATGCCTGCTTGTGTGCTTGTGCATGTTTGGTTGGTGCTCATGGAAGTCTGAAAAGGGTGTTGGATTTCCTGGACCTGAGTTACAGATGGTCATGAACCACTATATGCATGCTGGGAACTCATACCTGGGTCCTCTGCAAGAGCATCAAGTGCTCTTAACCACTGAGACATCTCTCCAGTCACTTGAAACTTTGTATTTATGCCAGGCAATGTGACTCACCCTTTATCCCAGCATTCAGGAGGCAGAGGCAGGCAGATCACAATGAGTTGAAGGCCACTTTAAGTCTATGTACTGCGTTTCAGGCCAGCTAGTGTTACACAGTGAGTCTCTCTCAAGAGTATTTGTTTGTATTTATGTGTGTGTTCTCCTGACTCATTCCAAAGAATTGAACTCAGATTGTCAGGCTTGTACAAATTCCTTCAATAGATAAGCCATCTCACTGTTTACCCAGTTTTAAATCACATTTAGAAAATAACAAGTAAGGCCTGGGGCTATCACTCAGTGGTAGAATATTTGCCTAACACACATTAGACTCTTGGTTTAGTTCCCAGGACTTGAAGGTAAGGAGGGAGGAAACAAATGAGAATATCTTATATTAAATATGCAAAGAGCCTAAATCCAAGGATCATTTCATAGGTTTAAAACTGAATCCAATTTCAGGTTTGGTGGTGCAAGCCTGGAATCTCAGCTACTTGGGAAAAGTGAGGAAGGTCTGTCTGAGTGCCAGAGAGAAATCAAGACCAGCCTGGGCAATTTAGTGAGACCCTATTTCCAAATTTCAAAAAATTAAAATCAGAGCATGCCTCGCATCTACAAGGCCCTAGTTTTAATGCATAGCACTGTTGAAATGGGTGGGTGGATAGATGGATGTTGAATCCAAAGGTCAGGGTTTTTCTATTCTGAGTATATAATTATTAAGAGAAGTGTGCTGAGTTTTCAGTCCAGTGATCAAACAAACTTAGATTACTGATGCCAGGTTATAAAGTGTACTATTCATCTGCCCGTTTCCTTGACAACTTCTGAAGACATGGAATTCCTAGAAGTACTCACCGAGGGATTAGAGCGAGTCCTCCTTGTCCGGGGTGGTGGCAGTGAAGTAATCACCATTTACTCATAATCAGCTTGTGGAAGATTCTGCTTGGTCTTAACTCCCCTAAAAGACTCATCGTCCACAGAGATGACAGCTCTTTCCTACCACTCCCACTCGATTCTTGCGGAGCTGAGCCCCAATTATGCTCTTGGCTGCAACATGATCTGCCATCCCAGCAGAAGTAACTATTCCCTCAACATCAGAATGGTCAAGTCCTAAAAGCTATTTCTGTGGCAGGAGAAGGCAAGTCAAAATTAACAAGCTAAGCCAAAGGGAACCTTTGTCACTGCTGAAGGTAGTGAGTTAGTAAAACGTATGCTAGAAATTTAAGTAAAAATGAAAGACAAGTTACTATCTGACATTCAGGATGAGTCTCAGAAGCACAGTTCAATGATGGTGCCAGAGAGGTAACAGCCAGTCAGCCTCACCTTAGTAAAAAAAAAAGAGCAGCCAAGTAAATGTTACCATTGTGGAGATAGGATACTAATATACAAAAACCTGAAACATAGCTGCAGCCTCCACTTATTCAAAAGTCTGATTCCCCCAGATACTAAGTTTTATTGTCTGTACTGTGCCACTATATTTCAATGGTCTTTCTTTAAAAACCCATTCTGTGGTTATAATGTAGACAGTGTTACCGTGGAAAATGTTTTTTGAAAGGTGAAATGTTTTTCAGGTTCTCTAAAGGCTGGGCTAACAGGATTCCAGAGAAGACTATTAAAATGTGCAGAAACAGAGCCTGTGGTTAGCTCTGCAGCACAAAGCACACAAGGTATTATCTGAGAAATGTAGGTTGTTATGCAGCATAACCAGGAGGGTCTCTTCTTCTATCCTTAGTAGGCACTGATTTAAACAAACAAAAGTTGTAAGAGACACTAGGACAGTGTATTGCCACCTCCGAGGGCTCCCGCCTTTAGAGGGGTTCAGTAGAGGAACTGGGCATGTGAGAGCCATACCCTTCACACGGTGCCAAAATCATCTGTCTAAAGTGGCAGACAGGTTTGCATTGGCCTGACGTTAGCAGCTTTTCTTTCACAAGAAATCAATCTGTGGCCTCTTCACCAAAGCCATAGTGAAGACTTGAGGCACTCGCCTCCATGCCCAGAGCTGAGCTTTCCTCGTCAATGTTATTCTGACTCCAGAAACTTGGCTCTGAACCAAGTGCTTCCCTGAGCCAATGATCTGCTGTCAAGTTTCGTTTTCAAAAAGCTTTAAATGTGCCAAGGAAATACTTGTGTAAGGTCAGCTTTTCTAATTTATTGGTCATGAAAACCTAGCTTACCAGCATAGGAAGTCTTTGTGGCTAAGCAGAATTCCAAGTATGTGAAACCTTCATATTCTTCACAAGATAGTTAAGAAACTGTCTTCTTGCTTACATACATGGCTGCTTTTAAATTCCCATTTATTTATGGTAAATTGTGCTGTGCTACATACCCTATAGGACATGGAACACCCGGAATTCAACCCCAGAGACAGAAGAAAACCCTCAAACATGGTTTAAGAAGCTGAGTATAGGATTTGTTCTTCATCCCCCAGGTCCACTCAAGGTAGCAGAGAGGATCCAGAATCTTTTCCTGCTCCTCCCTGCATCGGGTAGAAGAGACTGTTTACAGTTCCCTTTCCAACACTCCATTGCATAGTTGAGTTTAGTCCCCTAGGCTCCAAGGTGTTAAACACCCATTCTGTAAAAGCCAGCCTGTCCAGGAACTGCCTGACACATCTACCCCTGACCATAATACCACCTTTTCCCATAAAAAACAAATATGGGCAGAGAATAAAGTTAACGTTAAGAAAGGCTGTTTGTGGTTAGAGCTATATAAGAATCTTTTAAAGGGTAAGAGAGTTAGCTATTAATATAGCTATTACTTCAGTCCCTAAAACATAAAAATCACTGTTACATGGAAAAATGGTTATTAGGCCAGATTTATACTCATCTCTGTCTAGAGCATTTCATGTCTATGTGTTGCTTATGTTGTCTGTCTGCAAAGTGTTTTTTATCTTTTAATCACTGCAAATAAAGCAATACTGAAAACTTGAGAGAAAATGCACCTTAAGGGAAGGGGCCAACTGTTTCTAGAGGGAAGAGAAAGATCTTCTCCTGCCTTCTTATAAGACCCAGCTTTTGTGTCTTACCTATGAGTTTAGCAGGGCAGGTTGTAACATTCACTCTCCCCCAACTGGCCCTCAGCCTTTCATAGCTGTCTTAAAAGCTGGAGTTTGAACTGCAGGCCTGCTTGACAGGTGCCAGCTTCCTCATGGCAGAGGAAAAGTCACTGCTCTTCATCTTCTGTTGCCTCCTATTCTTGTGGCCCCAAGGATCCCTCCAATCCTCATTCCCCCTAAATGTTAAAAAAAACTTATTGTGGATATTAAAATAAGTTACACTGTAAGTATATTTACATGCTCTTTTCTTCTGGTTTATTTTTCTTTTCATCATGTATAATTTGAATCCAGCATTAGTTTTCACATCTTGCAAAAAATGTCTGATATAGAATTTTTGTCTCTGCTTATGCGACATAGAAGTGAAATATTAACAGATTTAAGGGGAACTTGAGAAACTTTTAAAGCATTGTTCTCGACTGTTTAATTTATTGAAAGAAGATGCTGCTACTCAGCAGCTGCTATTCTTTTGTTTACATAGAGTCTGGTTTTGTTTTGCTCTGTGCTGGGAACATAAATAAAGTTTTCTACATTATTTTCAGTCAGAAGTTGTGCTCCAGTTTCTTTTCTGCTGTAACATGCTGCACATATCCTTGTAGAATCTCTCATTACAGAAAAAAACTGCAGACCTTCTGGTTCTTCTCAACATGCGTGATTATTTTAAGTAAGCATACTTAGGAGCTGTGAGCTTAGAGTGCAAATGAGGCCCATGCAAACAAGGCCTATATACATAGACACCAGGTGCTGCTTTCTCGGGTTCACAAAAGTAATCCTCCACCACTGAACTCCATTCTCTAAAAAAAAAAAAACAGCAAAGAGGTGAATAATGCATAATTTACTCAGTTACCTAATCACAAGCTCTGCCATACATGACATTGTAACTTCCAAACTTCTAATGCTTTTTTATTACTTAAGATGTGAACTCTTGGGCCAGCTAGAGGCCTCAGAGAGTAAAGGCACTTGCTGCCAAGCCTGGTAATCTGAATTCAATTCCAAAAACCCATAAAATAGAAGGAGAAAACCAACTCTTGCAAGTTGTTCTCTAACCTCCACAAACAGAGGCATGCAATAAAAATGTAAAAATAAAGCTAAAAAAATAAATAAATGAACTCTCAACACCAACTCTAACTCCCTACCCATCAAATGAACTAGCTATTCACCATACATCCCATTTGCCTGAAATTTAACATTAACCTTACCTCTGGGGGCTCAATAAAGGCTAGCCAATCTGATGCATGTGTAGGCAACAGTCCCATGGATTGGCACTTGTAAACAGCCAATGCCAAACCCATCAGGTTCCCAATGAGATAGACCAAACCTTGAAGAAACTTCTGACTTGAACTCTCTAGCATCTTGAAAGCTGTTGAGATAACAGACATTGTCAAAACCTTTTTTCTCCCAATAGGAATGAAGGCAACCACAAATTTATACATACAAACCTGAAAGAAGATTGTAAATAGTATCACTCCAAGTAAACAGAAAACTACACACCATTTTCTTTTCATGCCACCACTATCCTGCACACCCTCTAGCCAAAAATATACAAAAGAGTTTGCCTTCAATCTTTCGCATTCAGGGAAGGTGCTATTTTTATGAATACTTACTGGCTGAAATGGCCATAAGTGCTTGAATGGGTCGCCAGGCCATCATACACACCATCATAGTAGGGAAGATGGAGATGGTATTGCCTGCCATGTACATGATGAAGAGGTTCATAGGAATCTGTTTGAGGGGACCCAGGGCGATGTCCCAGCAGCGCTAAAACAAACACACAGTTGAAACCTCTGATCACTACCCTCCAGTCTCACATTCACCGTTTAACTGATGCTTAAGTCAGATGAACACAAATTTCAATTCTCTGCTTGACTGAGCTGACTTTTCAGCTCACCACCACTTCAGGGTGCTACAAGTCCCTCTACTTCTCTATGCTTTTCCCTATACAAACTTTCCAGAGAGTCTTTTTAGTTTGTTTTTCAGAATGGTTTCTCTGTGTAGCCCTGGCTGTCTTGGAACTCCCTCTGTAGACCAGGCTAGCCTTGAATTCAGAAATCTGCCTGCCTCTCAAGTGCTGGGATTAAAGGCATGTACCACCACTGGCCAGCAAGTTTTGAGAAGTTTATATATAATCTTTTTGTTCCTTGAGACCACATCTTGCTATGTCCGGGTTGACCTCCAACTTGAGATTTTTCTCATATCATCCTCCCAACTGATAGGATTGTAGATCTGCACCACCACACCCAGCCAGAAATTCATAATTAAGAATGTGCGAGAAGACTCAGCATCTAGTTCATGAAAGTTAGACAAAGAACAAACTAGAGGATTTGAAGAAAACAAAAAAGAAAAATTCATTAATAAAATAAAATCATCAAAGCTAAACTTGTCTTTTTGCAAAGATTATATATTCAATTCTGGTAAATCTGATGACTTAGAAAGGAGAGAAGACAACTCTCATGTCCAGAAGGAAAAGGGGCAGCTCTATAGATCCTGCACATAATATACTGTCCACATTATAAACTACTTTGACTATTTGAAATTTTAGGAAATGGATAAATTCCAAGAAATGTGACTTACACAAATGGCATTAAAAAAAAGGAACAAATGTAGCTCCAGGGCAGTTAATAAAGCTGACCCTATAATTAAGCCAAGATGGCTTCCCTTGGCAAATTCTAACCATTTAAAGCTAAAAATAAAACTAAGTCTTAAACTTTTTTGGAAGGAAACAAAACTAAAATTTTTTTTTAAAAGAAACTCAAATCACATAAATACCCAAACCTCAAAAAACCATTATGAGGTGTGTGTGTGTGTGTGTGTGTGTGTGTGTGTGTGTGTGTGTGTGAATAAATAAATCTTACTTGTGAACTAATCTAAATGCAAAACTCCTGACAAAGGCACTGGAGAGATGGTTCAGTGTTTAAAAGTACTTGTTGCACCAGGTGGCAGTGGCGCACGCCTTTAATCCTAGCACTTGGGAGGCAGAGACGGGATCTCGGAGTTCAAGGCCAGCCTTATTTACAGAGTGAGATCCGGGACACCAAAACTACACAGAGAAACCCTGTCTCGAACCCCCCCCCCCCCAAAAAAAAAAGAAAAGAAAAAAAAGTACTTGTTGCTTCTGCAGTGGAACCGATGTTTGGTTCCTAGCACCCACATGGTGGCTCACAACCATCCCTAACTGCAGTAGAGGATCTAATTCTTCTGACTTATGAAAGTACCAGGTATACACATACAGGTAAAACACCAATATGCATAAAATTAATCTAAAAGAAAATAAGTTTAATCTTAATAGTATTAGCAAAGTAAATCTATATAAATATAACAATAACTATTTTGTTTATTCACATTTAAAAAGCCTTATTTGTAAATAATTTCCTATAGACCATTCATAGAAAACAGAATTGTTATAAAAGTATTTTATGATCTGCCTTTTAAAAATTATGTCATTTAATAATTTACTATAATGTAATAATGAGATAATACTTATCAAAAAATTAATGGCTCTGTCATTTTCATATTGTAAAAACTGAATGTATGCATTCCTTGGAATAAAAAACATGTGTTCAGCAATATTAAGGCTGTGAGAGAAATATAAAAAGGAAAGAAAATACCAAGTACCACTCTAAACGTTCAGGACACACTTCTGTAAAATTCCTCTGAATATAGCTTTACAAGAGTAATAAGACAGATGCTAAATAACAATATAATTACCATGAGATATATTGATAACATACATAAATGACACAAAAAAAAATATAAGAAAAGATACAGAGTGCCACAGGGAAAGACTTAACTATGTAACAGTAGAGAGACCCTAAAGGAAAAGAGCAAGCAATTTATAAAGGAATCCAGAGGAAAAGCATTCTAAGAATAGAGAACAAACACAAACAGCAGAGAATGGGAAGGAAACCATGATGACTAGAGTGAATAAATGCAAAAATGACAGGCGGTAAGGCCAAAGATGCTACAAGGAGTGAGATGGGTGCGTGCAGAGTTACGTATAATACTAAAAAGATTCTGGTTTGGTTTTTATGCTGAATGAACATGGAATTACAGACTGATTTTGAGTAGGAGGGATCTGGCATGTTCTAAAGGGATCATTTTGATGGCTGTGGAGACTACGAGGGAAACAAAGTAGAAGGAGCAAGACCAGTTAGAACTCTATACAGAAGGGATATTGGGAATTTGAGAAGGGGAGACTTGAATATAGATTCTCTTTCAAAATGGTGGTGGTTTCATTGGGGTTATACACTGTTAAAGCTCATCAAATTGTACCCTTTTAGATTAGAGGTTCCTAAGCAAGGGCAATCTGCCTTCTGGAAAATATTTGGTAATGCTGGAAACATCTTTAGTTCACACAATTGTGGAAAGAAATAATGGTGCCTAATGTGTAGAGAGCAGGAGTATTGAATATCTTACAGTACCCAGTATAATTCCCCACAACAAAAAAGTACTTAGTCCCCAATAGATAATAGTGCTGAGGTTGAGAAACCATGTTTTATTTTAAGTAGAGGAACGGAGGGACAGATGATAAATGAGTTAGTCTACTACAAAAATCTAGGTGCAGGATGGTGGTTAGGGCTGGGATGATGTAACAGGTGAAGGCAGTAAGAAATGATAGCGGGATTGGGATTTTGTTTTTAAAGGTAAAAGTAACAAAGGGCTGGAAAGATGGCTCAGCGGACCAGGATTCTATTCCCAGCACCCACATGGCAGCTTACAACTGTCTATAACTCCAGTTCCAGGGGATCTGACACCTTCACACCAATGCACATAAAGTTAAATTATTTTTTTTCAAGTAATACAATACCCTAACAGACTGAAAGTATGTCAGGGAACTAGAGCAGGAAAATATGGCTTCAAGGGGAAGGTGATGCCACCGACGCCATTTTTCAACCCATTTCATAAACTTTTTTTTTTTTTCAATTAACCACTTTTGGTTCTTATATGTAAGATACTGTAATACGAATCTAAAGCAGTTTAGCTCCGGAACACTCAGGCAATGGCTCTCTTTACCACTACTCCGGAGAGTAAGGTAAGACAGGGCTGGCCCAAATGCTACAGTAACATCTAATACCTCTGTACCTTCTCCACCAGGATCCGGTCTGTCTCTTGCACGCTGGTATCAGGCACTTGCTTGTCCAAGTAACCGACTGGATAGAGTGAGTCTCCCTGTCCGCTGCCCCGGTCACTTCGGCCCCTAAAGAACCAAACCAAGTCAAGAGACTAAGAGTGCTACTTTCCAAGCCCGCGTTTCCAGCTCTATAAATCACAAGAATAAAGATCCTCAGGTGTAGCTACCCAAATTAGACCCTCTCGTGCGTTCGTCAGATTCCAGCCTATTGGAAAGTCTACAAGATCCTTAGGGAAAAACAACTTCCACAGCACAAAACCTCCTCAGGAGACGTTTGTGTGCCACCCACCCGTGTCGGAAACCTGTGGCCCGGGGTCCGCTGGATTTCGGGCCATTCTAGGGTAAGGCTCGGACACCAAGCTTCACTCAAACGACTCACCTGCTGCCTCCTCCCGGCCCGCTCAGCTCAATGGCCCACTTGAACCGCCGGCCTCGGTTGGCCACCAGGCCGCCCTGGGTCGTCATGACAGCAGCCGCTGGCTAAAGCTCCGTTGACCGACCCGCCGCTGCGTACCTCTCGAAGAAACCAGAGGTGGTGATCGCAGGTACTCCGACTTGCTCCCTTTCGCCACAGCGCACTTCCGGTGCATGCTATGTACGTCACGCGCTCCCCGGAAGCTCGCGCTCGAGTGTCCGGAAGAACGAGCCCCTGGCTTTAGGAAAGCCGGAGAGCGAGGCAGTCGGAAGTCCAGCTTCTTGAGACCCCTCTGCGGATCGAGATCTTGTGCTCGGGTCTCTTGGGTGCGCGTCACCGAGCCGGAGTCAAGTCCGAAATGACAGGCATTGAAGACAAGAAGAGTACGAAAATGAAATCCTGTTTTAATCCCGAGGTTGCTCGGAGCTGGTGACCTTGAGCGAGTTAGTTATTCAGCCTCTGGCTACTACGTGTCCACGAGTTGCAGGAGCTATATATTTAGGTTTTTTTTGTTTGTTTGTTTTTCCTCTTACTTCGTAAACTAAGCCAACGACGTAGACACTAGGGGTGGAAAGCTACGTGGGCTCAGGATTTAACTGGCCTTTTAGTAGTGAAAAGTCTTTTCACTACTTACTAATGGTGCCACTTCGACTGTGTTAAATCCAGAGTTCCACCTGCCTCGTGCAAAAAATGGGATGATCGCCTACTTTCAAGACCTATTGTGAGATTAAATAGGACCTGTAACCTACGCTTAATTTTTTTTTATCATTAAGTATTCATTATTATTCCTGGAAAATGAAGTCTATATTCAATTTCTTGCCTGTATTGTAATTTGGCCAATTACTGAAAATAGTTTCCGCCTTCTCATCCTTTTATTATTCAGTGTTAGTGTGAAAATCATTCGGTACATCTACTCCCTTAAGTTATCGTATTAGAGTGGAGCTGCTAGATCAAAGAGTATGTACATTTTAGAAGAATTATTTTAGCCGGGCAGTGGTGGCGCACGCCTTTAATCCCAGCACTCGGCCAGCCTGGGCTACCAAGTGAGTTCCAGGAAAAGGCGCAAAGAAAAACCAAAAAAAAAAAAAAAAAAAAATTATTTTAAATGCCCACTTTTAAGTTCAAAAAACGGTAGTTTGCTATATTTTATTTACTTTTACTTATGTTATTCCCAAGTTTTTTGTTATGGCTGGAGTTTCGAGGGAGTGTAGTGACAGTGTGGTTGAGGATAAGGTTGAAGAGGCTTCCTTGACCACCTAAGAGTTTGGTGATTTGCACACATTGAAGATTCCCACCTCCTCTCTAGTGTCCAGTTTTGCAGTTCTGTGTGCAAAGAAGAGGAAGTGATGAATCACATCCAGAGTAGGACAGTGGTGCAGGGCATGAGATTGTATCATGCTATTCAAAACAGTGAAACTTAAAACATGTATGTAGAACTTTTCCTTTTAACATGTGTGGAACATAGTTGAAACTAGGGTAATTACTTGCAGATAACTGAAGCCATGAAAAGCAAAACTATTGATAATAAGTACAACAGCACTGAATAGTGAGTAAACTAAATTGTAAGTAAATATACCAAGGTAGAAATAGGCTATAATTATACTAATGTAAAACAAAATATAAAATGGGCTGCCCATCATAAATATTGTGTTAAGTAATAGTTCTCAGGTAATGTTGCCTAATTTTCAGGGTACTCGTGTTAATTTTGAATGAGCTTTTTTTTTAAAAAAAATATTAAGTTGGTCGACGAAATCACATATTTCTATTTAATACATTCCCTTTCTTGCTATCAGAAAGTTTAAACTAAATCACAGTTACTTTGTCCACAAAGAGTAAGCCAGGAAATCGATTCCTTTACTGCAGGAATCTTCATTGTGTAATTTGCTGAAACATGTCTCAGAAAGGATGAAGACATTGGAATGAGATGAAGAAGAGCTCCAAGATCAGATTTGGGAAATAAATGTGTATTATATTATGCTCACCTCTATGGTATTTTCAGTACTGTTCGTATAGTGTAGTGAACCATTGAAAAGTGGTTACAAAGCAGAGCGTAGCTCCACTGGCTCCTCCAACCACAAAGCGGCCCCAGAAATGTGGATGTGTCTCACGACCCAGCGTAACAAGACCAAGGTCTCCATAGATGCCAAGATGTTGAGCATCGGTGTTCCAGCTGAAGCACATCATCCAGGGCATCCTCAAGCAGCTGCCGGATGAGCAGCGGCTGTTCAAAAATGCTCAGTTCCTTGACGACGATGGAATGAATGACTCTAGGCCAGACAGCACAGCCACCGGCCCCAGCCACCGTGGGCCTGGTCCTTCCAGCAGGTGACGCCTTCCAAACCCTGCGCACCGAGCCCTTCTCCAGCCTGCCAGAGCCTCCAGAGGTGAGGAAGCCACAGGATTCTGGAGACAGTGCCAATGAATAAACTACCGTAAGGGCCCCACACCCATCCATACAGGCCCATTCTCCCAGTAAAAATTTAACTCTCAAAAAATAAAAATGGCTACTAAAGAATTGCTCTTAGTTTTCTTTCCTTACCTACAGTTTAAAATTTTATTTTTTGAGACAGGCTCTCACTATATATCCCTGACTGGCCTCAGATTCACAGAGATTAGCCTACCTCTCTCCCCCAAGATTAAAGACATTTGCCAAGATGTAGGGCCTTTCTTCTTTCTTTTTTTCTCTCTCTCAACCAACAGATTCTGTTCCATGGAATATTGTAGGGATGACTGCTTTATGCATGTAAGAATGCTTCATGAGAAAAATTTAGGGCATCTCCATAAGCTTCACTTGTTCTTTCCCTTGTCATTGTTTTTGTTTGTTTGTTTGTTTGGATTTTGTAGGGATTTTTTGTTTTTGTTTTTTGTTTTTGTTTTTTTGAGACAGTTTCTCTGTGTTGTTTTGGTGCCTGTCTCCTGAATCTCACTCTGTAGACCAGGCTGGCCTTGAACTCACAGAAATCCACCTGCCTCTGCCTCCCCAGTGCTGGGATTAAAGGTGTGCAACACCACTGCCTGGCTAGATCTGCTTATTCTTTTTAAAAAATTATCAGAATATCATTAAAGATCGAATGTGTGTGTGTGTGTGTGTGTGTGTGTGTGTGTGTGTGTGTGTGTATACGTGCATGTGAATGCATGCATCAAAAATGGGGTTTTGAATATGGTTTGAAAGGAAATGTGTGAGGGTTTTGTTTTGTTTTGTTAGGAATTTAAAAATTGTGCATGTTCATGTGTGTCTCTGTGTGAGTATATAGGCAAATAAGTACAGGAGTCTGAGAAGGCCAGAAGGTGTCTGATCTGGAGCTGGAGTTACAAGTGGTTGTTAGCTCCCAGACATTAGTGCTGGGAGTCAAACCCAGGTCCTCTATAAGAGCAGTGTGTGTTCTTTAACCCCGGAGCCATCTCCCTTGTTCTAGTATGTTTGTTCATAAACCCAGGAAACCTGGATTCTAAACCAGAATGGGCATGAACTACCTGGTTGTTCTGTTAGGGACCCTCTTCATCTTAATTTCTTCATCTATAAAATAAACTTAGATGAGAGTGTCTTCTAGTTCTAGAATGGGTTATATATACTTGCTGTCAACAAATAATATTTTGTGCTGGTTGTGGAACCTGCCTTCAATCCCAGCACTCTGGAAGTGGAGACCAGAGGAGTTCCAGGCCAGCCTGGACTACATAGACACTGTCAAAAACAAAAACTGGGCTGGAGAGATGGCTCATTGGTTAAGAGTACTGGCTGCTCTTCCAGAGGACCTGGGTTTGATTACCAGCAGCCACATGGCAGCTCACAACTGTAACTCCAGTTCCAGGGGATCTGACACCCTCACACCGACATACATGCAAGCAAAACACCAATAAAATAAATATCAAAAACAAAAACCATTTTGCCTACTATACTTTCCATTGATATACACTCCTAGGGGGGAAAGGGCTCAACTGATAGACACTCAAAGAAATAAGATCTCAGATCCTTTTGTTGGTTTCCCACGCTTTTCCTGGGTCTCTGAATTGTGCTGAAAATTCTTTTGGCATTAATTATAGCAATTCTAAGCCTGGAAGTCTAATGGCTGTCTGCTCTGGAGGCACATGAGAATCATCTGGGGAGCACTGAAAAATACTAATTTTGTTTTTCGGGGTTCTTTCCAAGGGTGGCTAAGGTGACCTTGCACCAAAGCGGCAGCTGCAGTCGCCCCAGGTCCATCTTCGGCCCCACAATGTTGCCCTTGGCGAAAACACACTCTGCAGTTTTCAAGTTCAAAGCATTCGAAAAGCAGTGGCAAGGAAGACAAATATAACAATGCTGTTTTAGCAGCTGGAAGCAGTTTCTGTGTTGCTCTATGGGCATAGACAGCAACACAGATTGGGATACAGGAGAACCTGCCTCCTGTAGGCAGAGCCATCCTAAAGGGCAAGGTCAGTAACCATGCCAGCTGCTCTCCTAATCCATGAATTGTTTCAAAACCAACTCATCGGTGGTGCTGAGGAAAAGAAACATGAATTCGTAAAGTATGACACACTGAAGAAAACGATAAAGTGCCTTTGAAGCCTTAAAAAGTTACTAGTGCCTGGGATTCTGATTCACTCACTCTGAGTAAGCCCTGGGCATCAGTATTTCTTGTGGGTCTTTTGATAGTTGTTGTACAGAAGGACCTAAAAAAATCACGGGACAAAAACATTTTTCCACCCTAAAATCAAAAAAGTTTTAGTTTTTACAAATGAATTCAAGCAAAAATGTTCAGTCTTTGAGAGCCTCTTTGTGTACCTCTGACTGGGCCAGAAGTGATTTGGAAAACTCGTCAGAAAATTCAGAATACTGAAACTGTAAAATAAACATTCAATTTCCCTTACTTCGTATTTTTGAGTAAACATTATTTTAGTTATAGAAAACAGACAAGCCTCGGTTCAGTAGCTCATGGGTTGTTTTGTTTGACTATTATAATAAGCGGCACCTGTACATTTGTACCACTTTGATTTATCTTGCAGGGTTGGGGATCAGACATACCAGGTGGCTGCCCTACTCCCGAGCTAACCCCTCAAGCCTCTTTTGCGTTGGTTCCTGCATTTCATCCTTTGCCTCCTCCCAGATGTCAGAAAATCTCTTTCATGCCATTCTCCAACTGGTTTCATTTGGATTAAAATCTGAATGAGGAAACTTTTTATTCAGCCATCTTTGCAAGAATG